CAACCAAGAATTGTATCCATTATTTGTTGCATATAAACATGCCAAATACCAAATACATGCATATACAATAAAAACAAATTATAAAACTGCTAACACTTTTGCAATTTAATATATTGTTCTTACTCTTCTGTGTAACATTACTATCTCACCAAATTAAAATGATATTCTAGTTAATGATGGATATTTCAAATAGAAAAAGAGATACAACCATCTCTCATTATATGTCTACATAATTGATCTAATTAATAAAGCTGAAGTTGCAATCAAATCAAATAAAAACCTTGATTATAAATATCTATGAGCTATCTAAGCTCTATCAATTATTAGATTTCCATGTGAATAGTAAGCCATATGAAATTCTATACACATATCTATTGAAAATGTCACAATAGCCAATACAGCAATTAAGATCTTAGCCCATTCAGGTATAAACTACAATTATATCAATCTTTACATCCCAAACTTCTTTATCAAATGAAATATAGATTGGTATTTCATAAAAAAAAAACAAAATTATAATTCCAACCCATGCCTTCCAAAATATTATACCTGATGTATTTGGATATAATATTGGAATTGTTTCATGAACTAATTATATATTGCATTTTATTTACACATTTTATAAAATCCAGGCAAAGTCATTTCAGCTTATTTAACTTCCTTGGAATCAGCACTATGTTCAACTACATCGTCATTGTATACTTTTTGTAATAATTTCAATTTTTCTTCAGGCTATATCTCATTACTCTTGTAATATTCATAAATATCCTCTACTTATTTCTTATTTCCTATTCGTAATTCAATCAGAAAATATACTTATTAATGATATTGTCATTGCTTTCTATTTAGCTGTTTGCAATTAAACACCATTATTAACATGTTCTAATTGTTGATCGCTAATTTATCTCATTTCAACACTATCTACTGATGAATTAGCAGAATCCTATTCTTTATTCATATTTAAATTAATTAGATTTAATTGTATATTGTGTGTCCAAATATATTATTCAATTTTATTCAAAAAACTTTAAACTACATCGAAAAAAATTGTAAGAAATCATAAATAAGAAACAAATATTGTTTTTAATTCAAAATCTACTCTTAATTATAATGTTATTAAATTTTAAAGAATAAATTCTCAATTACTTATACATTTCAGAAAAATTTGACAGATATTATAATTTACTAATTTCCATTTTTCTTATTTAGGTAATGGTATTTTTTTAGTTTTTAAAATGTTTATTTATATAAATTACTCAAATTACTCAAGATTATTCTTTTTAATCTTATTATTATAAAAATATAATAGTCAAAATATTTTCATATCACTAACAGAAGTCTCATGGCTTCATCAAGACTTTGACATTGTTGGATTTACTATAAGAGAAATGTTTTAGCATTTATCTCTCTTGCATCTTCAATTTATAGCAAGACTTTTAGATAGTCAATAACACCAATTAACTCCTAAAAATTATATAAGAATAATTTATACATTATCTTTTGCATTATCAATGTAAGGTATAATAGGTATACCATTATCAATTTAAAAAGCAAAAGAATAAGCTGCATTATCAATCAAAACAACATCTTTGAGATTTCTGTTCAAAATTCTCAAATCTTTTACATATATACCCTATTATGTTTATATACAATGTTCTCTGTATAATCTACAAGTGACCCATTTTTTGGTTGGATCCAATTTATCAATAATCTTGTCTGCATATAAAGGATGAGAAGCTGTAAAAATCATAACTTCAAAATGCTTTGAGCATTCCTGAAGAAATTACTAAGCAAAAGGCCTCACACTAATTCCTGCCTTTTTAATATAGTTTAGTATACTTCGTGAGTCTATCCATTAGGCATTTAGATAGGAATCTTAAAATCAAATTTCATTTATGGTTACTCATTACAATGGATTAATGTTTCATCCAAATCTAAAACCAATGTTTTTTACTTTTCTATTTAATCAATAAATAAATTACTAATTTGTTATAATTATATGCAACGATGTTCTATTTCTTTAATATCTGGTTAAAGAAATTGTTTACTGAGTTATAAACTGTGAAATTGTTGAACAAAATGATTAATATACAATTAAGCATATAATCCTTCTAGATTTAATCCCTTAAGATATTTTCTTAAGTTATCCATATAATAAGTGCCTAAATTGATCTATTTGAATTAATTAAAAGAAGACTCTTCAGAACCTTGAGAGTCTTCTTATAACCATTCAAAAGACTCTGTTCTTTTTACTCTTAGAGCTTTAAGTTCTTATTTGAACTCATACACTTGAAATTGAGGATTGATTTCTTATTGTTGATGATAATTAGTTTTTCTAATTTTATTAATTTTTGATTTATCTGATGATTTCATTTAAGATTCTCTTTAGGTAAATTAGCTATTATTAAGTGATGCGTCTTTAATCACTCTTCTTGTTGTCTGTTCTTTTTTATTGGCAGTTTAAGAATTAAAAAATGGGAGTTTAATGTCTGTAAATTATTTAATAGGGGATGGACACTCTATTTCCATACTTTGTTCTTGTTTTGGTTATATAATTAGATTAGGACTCTTAACTAATTATTATCTATTTATATACCTCCTGATCATAATTGGACCTTCCACTTTTACTCAACATTCGTGGTGTTTAATTTTTTGGAAGTGATAGTTTTTCTAACTTAAATAAAACTAATTACATTAAAAAGAATTTCCTAATCCAAGACAATCTTTTGGGATACTTCTGCCTTTTCTTTAAAAAACACTTTCCGATATTAATTAATTGTTGTTTGATGCATTCATATAAATTTTTGGTGGTGAAGGTTTTCTATTGCTATCAATTATATTGTCTTTTGAATTATCATTTGTAAGAATTCTAGCATTACGTTTAGATCTCATAACTTATAAAATAAATATTGAATAATACAAAAAATCATTGAAAAAATTACAACATATTTTTAACTTCATATTTATTTATTTATAATTTGTATTAAAAATTATTTTCCTCATCTTTTTCTTCAATGGGTTTCAAAAAAACTTAGACATGAAAGCTAGATCAGTTGAAACTAACATTTCATCTCTTTCCAATATGCACTATTAAATATTTAAATATATATAAGAACCTATTTTTACGATGAATTTTTTATTTATATTCTACTCTATGATTAAAAGAATTAGTAAAAATCATCTTTATTTAATCCTCTAAAAATGATATTTTCAAAACTGTCATCATCATTAACTAAATCAGTAAATTTAATTATAAATCCTAAAATTATAATTGCATGTTCTAATCCAAGTTAACCACCAGATTCTAATTATTATATTAATTATTAATTACCTTTATAAATTTGAAAACCTTCTTTTTCAACTGCTCTACATATTTCTGTGAGATATAAATAAAATTCCTTATTTTTATTTTTCCTCTCAATACTATTAGAAAAGTCTTCATTCAATCTTTCAATTAATTTTTGTTTGAAATTAGTCTAATTTAAATTATAGAAAATCTTGAATAAGTGCTAAAAAATATCTTCTTCATTTTCTTTAATTTTTTTATTATACCATAAGGTTAACCTGTTACTTAAATCCTCAATACTTAATTTTGTTAAATCTGGATAAAATTATTATATTGTTTATCTTATCATATCAGTAAATTTTAATATTTCAATATTTTGTTTTGTTGATAAATACTACGCAATTTTAGATGAACAATTCTAATCCAAATGAACATATAAACCAAAAAATTAAGTAAATGTGTAATATAATGCATCTAAATAATAAGTGATTTATTAATTTTATTTATTTAATTTGATTTATGATTAAGTTTAATTAATCTATCCTTAATCTGGTTTTACTCTAATTTTTGATTATCTTAGAATTAATTAAGTTTATTATGCTTCTAATGCTCTCTCTAAGAAAAATAAATAATAATACTCTCTTTGTATGTTTCTAAAGTATAATTATGTTCTTGTTATAACTTTAATAATTTCATTTTATGCTATTCTTCATCAATCCCAAGTAATTTCAATAAATATTCTAAATTAAATTATAAATTACATAATTTCTCCTACAAATATTTATTACCTGGTTCATTAATAATTACTATCATGCAACATTCTAATGCCTCCTCATATTTTTCTAATGCCAAAAATGATTCCACTTAATAATATTAATATATAATCACTTTTATGAAGAAAATATTCTTAATTTTAAATTTATTGATGAGCTATCTCGAAACATAGAATTGCCTAATCATGCTAATTCATTTTTTAATAAGTAATTCCTAAATTATTTAAAAATTAAACCCATCAAAAAATGTATTGTTGGGGATCTGTCAAATTTTTTAATTTCATTAAGATAATTAAAGGCATTTTAATAATCCTCTTTCCTCATTGATAATTTATCTAAATTCATAATTGTTCTTACATAAACTAAAAATAGTATCAACTCTTTAAGGCTTTATATCAAGTGCCTATTTTAAACATCTTTCAGCATCCCCTATAAGCCCTAAATTCATGTAACAAAATTCTTAAAGAAGATAAACATGGAGGTATTGATGTTTTAATTTTATTTCCTCTCCAATTTAGATTGCTTTGGGAGGATCATTTGTAAAACAATAAATTATCATTTTAACAAATAGTATTGCAGCATCTTTATCAATTTTTTCTAATTTTTCAATCTTTTTCTTAAAAATAACTAATCCAATTATCATTTTTTCTAACTCCTCTTCATTTTTATTCTATAAATGAATTATAATATCCATAAAATCTTTGTCATTTGGAACAATATTTCCCATTTAATAAATGAATTAATATATAATTTCATTGAATTCTATTACATATAAATTAACTAATCATGAGTTTATTATTATCATTTCTAATAAAGAAATCTTATATTTTTAAATAATTCTGTGAATTCTAATTTTAAACATATATGAAATATAAGAATATCATTAACTTAACATATGATCAATTTATTAATATGGTTTAATTATCATAATAATTATAAAAATGAATTAAACTAATTCTAATAATGATTCATAAATAGTATAGAATGAAGATGATTAGAATACATTATTGGAGTAAAATAAGTATGAATCAAGTATATTCAATTAGATTTCCTTAAATTGAAAAATCCTTTTTTATTAATCAGATTGAATATAAATATTAAGGACCTGATCATCCATAAATTGCAGAATTATTAGAATTGTTGGATGAGAAGCAAAGAAAACCTTTATCTAATTAGACTTTGGAAAGTATTAGATAAAAAATACTCTATTATGAATAAAAATTCAATCAGAATTGCACATTTATGGATAATATGTTTTAGATATCATTTTACTATATTTTGACAATTATTGTTTATATGAGCATATATTTTACATATTTAACTAGTGTGATTGTATAACTTAGTTTAATTATGATTAGTCTTTGAAATCAGATGATATAATCGTTAAGAATTCAACAAAATTAAATATAGTATAATAATTACCTGAATTTGGATTTATGATTACAAGTTTTACATTATTGTAATATATTTTTATATATATAAATAGGATAATAATAATAAAGAATTAAATACTCTTACTATTATTATTTTTTTTTGGATGCATAATACCAGGATTTTATTTATTTTATGTATTTCTTGATGTATTTAATATAAATAAAAGTGCAATTGATTATGATATGGTTTTATTATTAAGTGCATTAATAGTTTCTAATTTGAATGGTATTATTGTTTCTGTACTTCAATAAATAGTAGAAAGCATGTATAATTAATTAGCAGGTGCTTTATTTTCAAGTGGATGGTGTTTATTTATTATCTATTTATTGGGATTTTTAATATTTACATATGTGATTGGTTTAGAAATAATTACTGCTGAGAAAGTAATCAATTATATTATTAATTCATTATACATTCCAATATTTGTGTCAATAATATTTTCATATTTTATGATCAATACAAGATTGTTTGATTGGCCAGCAGGAATTATTAAAACAGCTTTAGACAGAATTAAAATTAAAATATTAAAATAATAAATTTAAAAAGAGGAATAAAAATCATAATTATTAGTTTAAATTACTACATTTATGTCTAAATTTGTAATTTATTCTATTGGAGCAGCATATATAACAATGGAAATTATATTTTATATATTATTAGCTTCAGAATTAAAATAAACAAAAGTTAATTATACAGCAATAATTACTTTATCATTAGAATTAATTATAATACCATTATATTTATTTTTGGGAGTCTTCATATCTGTAAGTGATAGGAAACCATAATATACATATTTAGCTGTACCTTTAGTTATAGGAGCACCAATCATTTTTGGATTCTTAAAATTGGGTGATTATTTGTAATATGAAAAAGATATAACTAATTTCACAGAAATTCTATATTATTGTCCATTATTTGTTAATATTCTTTGGTTATCATTAACATTGATGGGATTGGATAAAAGAAGATTATTTATTAATTCATTAGGATTTGTATGTTTTTTTATTGCAATACCTATTGGAGTATTTATACCACTTTATAATTTATATCAATACTCATCATTATAGATAATAGCATATATTTTTATAGTTATAGGAATGATTGTTTTGTTAATGGTATTATGTTATTTTTTCTTTTAATCACTTAAAACTATTAAAAGAGCCAAAGAATTAGCAGATCAAATCATTCCAACATTTGATGAATTTAAATATTATAATTTAACAGATTTAGCTTTTTGTATAAATTCAGTTTGTTTTTTAATATCCTACTTTATAATAAGTTATTTCTTTTGGTATATATTTGATCAAAATAATACAGCAACAGTTACAGAAGGTGCAACTATGTTTGCTATTATGGCTATTACACCTACAATATTTGTACTTATCAACATAGCATTAGGACATCGTTCATTAGAAATTACTTATGAATTTGCATAAGATATAAAAGAATTATAAAAATTAGAAGAATTAAAAAATAGAAAGAGAATATAGAAGAGATTTTATTAAAATACTGCAGTTTGTTGTGGTATATTGGTACCATTAGGTTTATTTATTCCTATTTCATTGATAACTTCAAATGAGAGAGCTTCTATATTTTTTGAAGCTTTAGCTATTGGTGTTCCAGTTTGTTTTCTAATTTATAAATTTCTAGTGACAATTAAAAATCATTCAATTACATTTGAAGATTTCTTTTAACCTTTTGTTAGCTCTTTATTGTGGTGTTGTGTTATATTTCCATTTGGTGTGATAGTTCCAACAATGGCAGTTTATTTTAATAATGCTGATTCAACATTCTAATATTTTGCATAAGGAGCAGTTGGATTAGGATTATTTGTATGTATGATTGGAGTTACAGGAACATCATTATTTTTATCATTATTATTAAATAGAGAAGAATTTGAAAGGAAGAAAAGAGAAATCTTGAAAAGAGTAATGGAAATGTTGAAAGAGAATCATGTTCTTAGTGATATAAGTGTTGTTGGAATTTTATATATGAAATATTTGAATAAGTTATAGATCATCTATACTAAATTAAATACTATTAAGAATTAGACATAAAAAAAGAAATAAAAATAAGAAGATTTTAAATAATTAAAAAAAATATTAATAGAAAATTTAATATAAGGAGAACCTATTAATGTAATAAAATATGATGGACCAGAATTAGAATATGATCATAAATTAGTAAGCAAAAATGTATATTAAGAATATCTTACATTATTAGAATAAGAATTATTAGATAAATAGAAGAATATAATATAAGAATAAGAATTAACTGGATTTAAAAAGTATTTAATGGATTGTTTGTGTTGTAGATGTGGTCTAGAAGAAATGAATTAATTAGAAAACTAAAAAAATGTTGAAATCATAAAACTGAGAGATCTTTATAGTATAGATGAAGATACTGGATAAAAAATGAATGATTTAATACCATAATTCACTTCTATTTATAAAATTGCAGAAGAAACTGATACTCTTATTAAAAAGATAGAATTTCAACCTGAAGATAAATAAATTATATATAGATAAAAATATAAGCCAATTTAAGAAATTAAAAGTGAAAAAACTGACAGTCTAAGTTAAATTCAAATAAAAAAATTAAATGATAAAGCATTAGGAAATATTAAATCATCAGATCAATACTATTCATTATAATCATCAGATTAAATGATTTCAGAATTTATGCATGAAGTATTTATGGAATTTGCTAATAATGATTAAGGTTTAGAACCTTCAATTTGTTTTGCTGATTTATAATAATTTTGTAGAATGACTGAATTGCATTTTGATTTGATTGATTATGAAAAATATGCTAAAACTATATGGATTAATTAAACTTATAGTTTAAATGAAGTTTAATTTGCTGGTTTGATTAAGGGAATGATCAAAGATTATAATGGTGATCTATTTGATAATTTAAAATAATTGGTACTTGATCATATATATCCTTAATTAATCACTTCAATGAAAACTTTAATGATTAATTTCAAATATTCAAATAAAAAAGTATTATAAAATAATAAAAATTAAGATAATCCATTCTTAAGATAAAATTTTATATCAAATGTTGTTTAAACAGAGTTCTCAAAATTTGATGCAATAAAAGTTAAATAAATATATTAAGAAGAGATTAATAATTAATCTAGAATCAATTAAAATAATACAGATAATAAAGTTGCTAAATTATCTAAAAAATAAAAAGAATAATAATATCAATAAGGTAAATAAGAAATAGAAACTGCATATGCCTAAAAATTACCATGTCATAAAAGATGTTGTTATTCATGTAATGACTGGTTTAGAGTGAATATCATAGAAAAATACTTTCCTAATTTGGCTGCTGCTTAACCAAAACCAAAAATTGAAAAAAAACCTATTCTTGATCAAAAAAGATAAAAAATGCCTGATTGGAAAATTGTATCCAAACTCACCATTGATATATTATTTGAAGCAACAGAAGAATATGAAAAAAATCTTGCTAATTTATAATAAAAATCTATTGAATTCAAACCAACATCTAGTAATATCCTTGCTTTAATATTTAAAATATATGATATGTATAGTTTAGCAAGTGTAGCATATAATCCTTAAGTAGGTTGGTTTGGTAGTACATCAGTATCTGGATCAGATACAATTAGTGGATCTGCATTCTATGATAGCTATGCCTTCTTTTTCTATTTCTCTTTAGGAGTATCTATACTCTATGGACTTTTAGGATCTTTGAGTTTAGATGCTGTTTAAAAGAATACTTTTGGATAAGATGAAAATGGCAATGTGGCAAGATTTCCTCATATTTAATTTATACTTCCAAGAGTTATATCCATTTTGAGTGGTTTCTTTATGACAGTAATGAGAACATTTATGGATGCTTACATTTGTGATTATAGTAATTTACCTTACAAATTTGCTAGAGAAACATCTACTGAATGTTTAACAACTTATCATTACATTTATATGGGTTTAGGATTAATTGGAGTAGGTATTTATTATCCATTATCTACCTATTTATAACCTACTTTTTAATTTAGTGATCATTCATTAGATTTAAAATTTAAATCCACCTATATCATTATATATGTATAAGCCAAATTATTGATTATGGGTTTGAGTTCATTTTTCAATACATTAGATAGTTCATTTGAATATTAAATGCTATTTTCAATTGGAATCTTAATTATTGTTTTAGGCTTTCATATTAAAATGGAACCTTGTTTTGTTAAATGGTTTAATATAATAGAACAAATGCTAATTTTAATAATTATATTTATTTATACTGGTGCAGTCATTATCATGATGACTGGTAATAATGTTATTGGTATAATATTCACTGCTGTTGCAATTACTATAGGATTTCTAGCAATTGCAATATATCTTAAAAGATCAGTAATTCGAAGTGTTACAATCTAAAAAGTTACACCCTAAGATAATTTACCAAGTATAAATATTAGATTTAACTTTAGTTATTGAATTAAAACCAATCCCTGAAGAAGATAGACTTAATATTTATGATTTGATTGCAGAATCATAATTTGCTTAATAACAATAAAAGAAAACAAAAAAGAAAACTAATGAAAATCCTGATTACAAAGACTAATACCCTAATCTTGATATGACAGTTGGAGATAATATTAATAGAAGTAGCAATTTAGATGAATTAGTGAAGGTTAAAGATGAAATAAATATGGAACCAATTTTAGTTAATAAATCAAATTTATCAAAATTGAGATTATGAATTGATTAAACAATATTTTATATTTTTATAAATCATTTATTTACTTTATATATAAAAATATTATTTATAATGAATTATTATAATCAATTCAAATATTTATGAATATATAATTCACTTCTTATTAATTTTATTTATTGGATCTTACATAATAGTAAATTATTAATCCTTAAATAATTGAAAAAAACTTAAAAACAAACTAATTTACTTTATATTTCTATAGATATAATAATAATTTATATATGAAATATTTATTTGATCCCAATTTAAAATTAATTTATTATCAAATTCATTTTAATTAGATTATATATTTAATAAAGATTAACAGTATAATAATAGGAAAACTGAGAAAAAGTATATTAATTTATAAACATCAGATTATAGACATTCTGGCTTTACCTTTATTCCATCTTACTAGTTTCCCATCAGCCCATTCTCCTTCTTTTTCGATTCCGTTGTATCCTAAATAAATTCCAATGCCATTTTATTTATTATTTTGCCAATCTCCTTTGTAGAGCTAAAATAATAAAGATTTTTATTATTACTCTACCATCAGGCCACTCAAATTGACCTACTCCTTCCTTAATACCATTATTATATTATCCCTCATATTTCCTTCCATCTGGCCATCTAAATTACTAGAAATTAAAATTAAAATTTACTCCATTTCCATGCATACAATTGTTCTTCCAATATCCTTCATAAATTCTACCATCTTCCCATTTAAATTACCCTAGTCCTTCAAGATTCCCATCAACGAATTATCCAGTATAAATTGATCCATCTGACCATTTAAATACTCCTTATCCATTTTTTAGTCCATTTTTATATTCTCCATTATAAGTAGTGCCATCATGCCATATCTCCATTCCTAAACCATTTTATACATCATTTTCCCATTCTCCTACATATTTTAATCCATCAATACTATAATATACTCCCTAAAAATGAATAATTAAAATACTTTTCCAGATGCTTTATCATTTTTGAATTCTCCTTCATAAATATTGCCATCACTATGAACTAATCTACCTCTACCATCAAACATATTGAATGCCCAATATCCTTCGTAAAAGGTACCATTTTGCCAATATTACTTTCCACAACCATGTCTAAGACTGAATAATAATTTTTCTTACCCATTTTTCCATTGTCCATGATAAATAGAACCATCATCTAGTTAATATATTGGAAAATTAAATTTGTTATCTTCTTCACTGTCATATTTAAAATTTGTATATAATAACAGAATCTTTCAATTAAAGTAAAATGTCATATTACCTTATTAACTCTATTGCTTAAATAGTCAGGTACTTTTGGTAATTTCTTAACTTGATATAATTATTAGTGCTGATTTTTAGTCATTTAAGTATGTTTATTGTCTTGAAATGGAGAGGTGTCTTTGAAACTTAACTCATTAGAATAATTGTTTTATTCTTTTGATATTATTTTCTCTTTCTTCAACTTTTATATTAGATTTTAATATCTTTTCCTTACAAGATATCCTCTAGCACATGCTTAAATATAGTTCACAATCCTACCTTAAATGAATTAAATTTGTTTATGATATTTAATATCGTAATCGGATATTATAGTATTTTGTATTTATGTTTATAAGATGATTTGACAATTCTTCTCTTATCCTTAAGAACCAGTGCAGCATGATCCCATTTAAGTTCTAACTTTCAAATATAATTTATATTAAAAAATATATATTCATCAACCATAAGTAAATATACACATCTGTATCACTCATTTTCTTTTAAGATTATTGAATTCTATCCTCTTGAAGGTATGATTAAAAATAGTCTTAAATTGAATAATAAAATTAATATAATATATGAAAAAGCAATTACCCAAGAGTGCTTCTCAAACCGCCATTCAAAAACCAGAGAAATCTTAAACTATAAAAACTCCTGAAAGACATGGCATCCCTAGAAATGTTAATTACTATAGCCATTTTTTAGCTGAACCCTACATCACTGAAAAAGATATTGAGTTTGTACTCTAGTTAAGAAATATTGATCATGTAGAATCTCTATCATGACATTAGGCAGAAATGACAGCTAAATTGGCTAGAATACCAAATTAAACTTTTTCAAGAGGAGATCAGAAGATAGAATCTTAAAAGGACAAACACCTCTCAAGGGATGTGAAGTATAATGGCAATTCAACTCCTGTCCTTCATCTTCTGAAGGGTAGAATTGGTCCTACTCCTCATTTAAGTTAAGCAGAATTTGAAACTGGTCTACGATCCTATGCTAAAACAGATAAAAGTCTTCTTGAAAAAGAACGTAATTGGACTACCGTCCCAAAAACGTAACGTAAAGATGCTTTCCCTGAATTCCTGCCTAATTATAAAGAAGAGATATAGAAAAAGAAATCAATGAGTATGAGTGGAGGAAAACTTGCTAAACTTACTTATAGTGGTAATCATTTACATTAACCAATTAAGCTTTTGATTCGGATTCTAATTACCCATCTTATTTAATGAAGTTTCATGATAAAAATCTACAAAATGTTAAACATATGTTTGTTCCTGCAATTAAGATGTCAACTGTTTAATGGTAAGATGGATTGAGACCTCTTGAACCCATTAAAAAAGAAAAAAAGCCAAAAAAATGATATCTGAATCTATAATAATTAAATGTACTCATATGAGTTAATGTTTATTAATAAAAATTCACATTTTTTAATTATATTTTTAGTCTAATTGTTAGATAAACTTTACAATATCCTATAAATAGATTTAACTTAAAGAGTAAACTAATAAGATTTATTATTAAATAACTAAATATATATATGTAAAGAGTTTATTATTATTAATCATCTTCATATTTTAAATTAAAATAATTGATAATATTATTTAGTTTAATTCATGAATAATTTCAACTAGAGAGGGCATTAGTGTGATTTTTAATATACTAAATGAATATTGTTATATTGATGTTAACTCATAACCTTAAGCTATTTTAATAATTCTAAAAATTCTATAATAAGTTACAGTTTAGCTGCTTCTAATATATGGTTTGATCTGACTATATGAAACCATTTCATATCCATTTGTCTTGCAAATTTAATTGATTCTGCAAAAGAAGAAGNTAAATTGAATAATAAAATTAATATAATATATGAAAAAGCAATTACCCAAGAGTGCTTCTCAAACCGCCATTCAAAAACCAGAGAAATCTTAAACTATAAAAACTCCTGAAAGACATGGCATCCCTAGAAATGTTAATTACTATAGCCATTTTTTAGCTGAACCCTACATCACTGAAAAAGATATTGAGTTTGTACTCTAGTTAAGAAATATTGATCATGTAGAATCTCTATCATGACATTAGGCAGAAATGACAGCTAAATTGGCTAGAATACCAAATTAAACTTTTTCAAGAGGAGATCAGAAGATAGAATCTTAAAAGGACAAACACCTCTCAAGGGATGTGAAGTATAATGGCAATTCAACTCCTGTCCTTCATCTTCTGAAGGGTAGAATTGGTCCTACTCCTCATTTAAGTTAAGCAGAATTTGAAACTGGTCTACGATCCTATGCTAAAACAGATAAAAGTCTTCTTGAAAAAGAACGTAATTGGACTACCGTCCCAAAAACGTAACGTAAAGATGCTTTCCCTGAATTCCTGCCTAATTATAAAGAAGAGATATAGAAAAAGAAATCAATGAGTATGAGTGGAGGAAAACTTGCTAAACTTACTTATAGTGGTAATCATTTACATTAACCAATTAAGCTTTTGATTCGGATTCTAATTACCCATCTTATTTAATGAAGTTTCATGATAAAAATCTACAAAATGTTAAACATATGTTTGTTCCTGCAATTAAGATGTCAACTGTTTAATGGTAAGATGGATTGAGACCTCTTGAACCCATTAAAAAAGAAAAAAAGCCAAAAAAATGATATCTGAATCTATAATAATTAAATGTACTCATATGAGTTAATGTTTATTAATAAAAATTCACATTTTTTAATTATATTTTTAGTCTAATTGTTAGATAAACTTTACAATATCCTATAAATAGATTTAACTTAAAGAGTAAACTAATAAGATTTATTATTAAATAACTAAATATATATATGTAAAGAGTTTATTATTATTAATCATCTTCATATTTTAAATTAAAATAATTGATAATATTATTTAGTTTAATTCATGAATAATTTCAACTAGAGAGGGCATTAGTGTGATTTTTAATATACTAAATGAATATTGTTATATTGATGTTAACTCATAACCTTAAGCTATTTTAATAATTCTAAAAATTCTATAATAAGTTACAGTTTAGCTGCTTCTAATATATGGTTTGATCTGACTATATGAAACCATTTCATATCCATTTGTCTTGCAAATTTAATTGATTCTGCAAAAGAAGAAGTATATGTCTATCCAAACTGAATTGATACTAATATTAAATATTTATGGGTAATTTTTGTCCAAAGGGGGATGCACACTCTGAGAGAAGTTCTATTGCCAACATTGTAGTAGAGGAAGTAGAGTAGACTAAGTTGAAAGCCACCCAACCTATGCAATCTAGCCAAAATTTAGTTACAAGTAGCAACGTATTGACAGTACCAAAACCAAAAGGTTATGTAAGTAGAGATGATTTTGCAAAAATTGATAAATTGGGATATGTATTATAGAATTAAATTTAAAAGGGGGCTTTTGGAGTAGTTTTTAAGGTGAGATAGAAAACGACAAATAAAATATATGCGATGAAATAGATAGAGAAAGAGAAGATATTCAAAAATAAGTTATAAAACAATACAGTTTTGGAAAGAAATGTTTTAAAGTAAAGTAAGCATCCTTTTATTGTCCGTTTAAAATATGCATTTCAAACAAATTCTCATATATATTTTGTAATGGAATATATAGCAGGAGGAGAATTCTACAAGATATTAAATCAAGTGAAAACAGGATTGCCAGAGAATGTTGTGAAATTTGTGGCAGCAGAAGTAGTATTGGCACTTGAATACTTAAATACAAAATTAAAAGTGATATATAGAGATTTAAAACCAGAAAACTTATTGTTAACAACAACTGGACATGTAAAGTTGACAGATTTTGGATTAGCTACAATGAGAAGGGAAAATGGAGAGAAATCATATACTGTAAATAAATAAATATTAAATAATTATAAAGGTTGCTGGAACTGCTGAATATCTTGCACCAGAGATAGTAAATAAGTCAGGACATTCATATGAAGTAGATATATGGACTTTGGGAATATTGATTTATGAGATGATTAATGGTTTTACACCTTTTCGTGATTCAAATAATGACTTTAAAGTGATTTCACAGAATATAATTGAAAATCAACCTGTATTTCCTGAAAAAATGTCTTAATAAAGTGTAGATTTAATTAAATAGATCTTGTAGACTAATCCATAAGAGAGATTAGGAGTGAAGGTATAAAATTAGAATTAATAATTAGGGATAAGGATATGATGAATTAAAAAGACATCCATTTTTTAATGGTATTATTTGGGATTAATTGTCAAATTTGAAAATAACATCACCTTTGAAAACATTTGCTGAAAGAAATACTCAGAAAATGAATTTGGTTAATAAATAACCATAGAATTTTCAAAACACTCCTTGTAATCCATAAAGTCCAAAACATAAAATTGATGGAATCACTTTTGAAGGTGAAGGTACCTTTTCTTCATATTTTTGAAATTATAATTAAAAAATAACTTAAATAGCAATAAATAAAATAATCAATCATCATCTTCAATAGGATAACCTCTAATCTTGCTCATTGGAATAAATATTTAATTTTTCCATCCATCTTCTAACTTACCCTTTTCAATGTCTTATGGAAAATTGGTCTATATGATTTTTAATTCACAACTATCTTCCCTTTCAATTAGTCTGAGAGTAACATTTGAATATTATTTCCAATTATTAAATTTCCATGTCATTTAAATTTCTTGATTTTCAACCTAATTAGAGATTCTAATCTTACTAATTTATTGAAAACACCATCAATACGCCCTTCCATTATTTTATATTATCCTCCTTCCTTTGGTTCAACAACAGCAGGTGCTCTAGTATATTACATAATTTCAAATGGATCAAGAAGAGCTTAGTAAATGACTTTAGATGGCACTCCCCAAACAATAGAAAATTCTAATTTATCCATATATTAAAATTAATATCAATTCTCTGAAATAATTCTTTATAAAAAATATTGTTTAAGAGTTTTCCAGAAATGCATATTGTAATATATATACTAATAATTCATTGAATCAATTCCAATTTAATATCGCTGAATTCTGCTTAAAAACTAGAGTCTTAAGGACTGCAAGCATAGATACCTACAGATGTCTCTTGAGTTTCTTTGTGTAAATGACACACTCTTATTTCATGGAATTCTTTTCCGTCATAAGAAAATTCAATATTAAAATCTTACCCTTTTCTCTTTAATCTATAATAGAGTTCCTTAATTTGAGAAGACACTCTTTAATAACCCCAATCTGAGTATCCAAGATTTGTAACAACTGATCCTAAAGTTGAATAATTCTCATCATGGTACTCACTAGATGCTTTAATCCAATTTTCTTTGTCTTCAAATAAAATGATTCCAGCTTGATCATATAAGACTTTTGATGAAAAATTAACTTTGCAAGTGAATACAAAATCACCTTTGACCTTAGTAACATAAGTGGGAGCATCGTATCTTATAAATCCATAATGAGTTTTAGACCAATAGTCAGTATTGGGTTCAGTTACTATAGTGATTTTATCATTTTGATTTTTCCAATCTTTTGGTTCATTCAACCATTACCAATTCAGATTAGTTTAATCCATAATAAAATATATTGTAAATTATATATATATAAATTGAGTGATCATCCGTATCTTAGCCAATCGATGAATAGATATATGCAATATGGTATTCCAACTATTATAGCCACTCCGATCCCTAAAATAACCAGTAGGAAACAAATTGGAGACAATAAAGGACAAACTATAATGAAGAAAATAATAATGAATGTTTTTCTGCAACAACTATATTCTTCGAATTGATGATAAGGAACATAGTTCATATAAAATATTACTGGCAATCCAATTACTAAAATAATAAATCCCAAAACTAGAGCTAAAATAAATAAAGGAGGTCCTAATATCAATATTAATAAAATTGCTATAAATCTGTATAAATTTGGATATTTAAATGGATCTCTTTATGTAAATTACATCCCAGGACATCCAAAAATATTATAATTTGAATAATGTCGATAACTGTATTTAGCTCTACATAACCAGCAAAACTCATATTTGCAGGTTTTACAAGTCATATGATTGCACCCATCATTTTTTTAAATAGGAGATTTACATTTTTAACATTTTTAAATCTTTAAATTTTTGATAGCTTTCTTAAAATCCTTATCTATTTGATCATTACAAGTTTGTCCATCATGTCTTTCTCTACCACACTTTCGACATATTTATTAACCGCATTTACATTTTAATTTTTTTTTTCCATTCCTCTTTACTGTTTCCTCACATCCTATTCTTGGACACCAAATGATATCTGGATCCAGTTATAATTATTTGATTTTTCTGAACTTTTTCATTTTTGTCATTACATCTGGTTCCACAATTTAATTTATGTAATCATCACTTAATTGAAAATTACATTCTTATTAAGGACATATCATTTAATCAACCTATCCATTCTCGATTCGATCTATTAAATAGGCCTTCATACAAGATCTATAAAATAGATTTTTGATTACAAACAAAAATTATGACCACAATCCAAGATCGGATACCTGTCATCATATATAGATTCCATACAAATCCCACATGTTATTTAAAGAAGCTGTTATGATTATCTATTACTTTTCAATCCTAGGTAACTCATCAAATTTGGATTAATAGTTCCCATCATGTCACGTAGTTCCTATCTATGTTATCTCTGTTATAATGAATCCTCATTTTAATAATTCTTATTAAAAATATGAATTGTGTTTTTACATCTAGAATCAAAATTGCTGAGATCACCTTGTTTAAAATAACATTTTCATCAAGAGTTTCGAAATCTTCATCACTCATACTTTTCAAAATAGCATTTGCATAATCTTAATCAAATCCCATTGCTAATATATTTATCATTATATTTTTTTCTGCACTTAATCTTCCATAACCTGCTGACATTAGTGGAAGTGTATTTCGTCTAAATTATTACATTTGATCATCTTCAAGAAAATCATCCTCTGGGATTAAAATTTAATGAGAATTGCTTTAATATTATTCATTATTTAAATGAATTTTTGCCATCTTGATGTTTCTTTTATAATTATTATATTAACTTTTTATTTTTCAATCATCATTATCATTATGAGAAAAAGAATTCAAAGTTATTAATTACCTCGACTCAATAAGATCAATCGATCCAACACTTTTGATCAACATGATACAATCAAAATAAATAATAGTTGTTTCCTACTTCAACTTACCAAAAGATCATAATTGCTGATATCCTATTTTAAGGATCCAAAATATGATCAACTCATATAATTCTTTAATATTCCTGTAATTAACTATGATTAAGTAGGATGATATAGATTTAAATGAGATTCAAGCAAACATTCATTTAGAGTATATTGCTATAATTCTATGTTATCTAATCAAACATGATTTAACTGTTTCCTTACTCTATGGTTACAAAGCTAAATTTATCAAAACAACTCTGATGCATCATCAAATGTGGATGAAATATATCAAACTAAGAGAAGAGCCATTATAAAAACTCCTAAAACTTTAGTCTTCTTTAGATTCAATAACATCCATTATCATACAATAGTATGCTTTTATCTATCATTATACAGTCACATTGATGACTCCCATTTGAGGATTCATTTACTAGAATATTATAGACTGAAACTTTATCAAAGCAACTTTGTTATGTATTCCAAAATCATTATCAACAAAATTATACCACTTTTACAAACTCCAAATATAGTTGCAAATCATATCCCAATCAATTTTGAATCCTACACTCTTGTCTTAGATATGGATGAGACATTGATTTATTATGATGGTGAAAAAGTGTATTAGCGACCATTCTTATTAACTTTCTTAAAGCAGATGAGTAGAATATATGAATTGATTTTATTCACAGCAGGATTAGAATCTTATGCACATAGAATCTTGAATAAGCTTACAATGAAACAATACTTTACTTATTTTCTTTTTCGATAACATACAAATATATATAAAGAATTCTATGGAAAAGACCTTAGAAAATTAGGAAGACTTTTATCAAAAACAATTATCATAGACAATACTCCTGAGTGTTTTAGTTTGTAACCAGAAAATGGAGTACAGATTTAGACTTGGAAAGGAGACTTATCTGATACAGTTCTTTTAACTTTAATTCCTATTTTAAAAGCCATAAGATTTAGCAATAAAGATATAAGAATGAAATTAAGAGAATATAAAAATTATCCTGGTTTAATTTTCCCTAAATGATTTTTGATTATGATATATATAAACAGTCTCTATTAATTAAGATAATTTTTATATTAAAAATAAATTATAATCATAAAAAATTATATTATAAAAATTATGATTATTAGCTTTCTTCAATCATAATTTAAATGTTTAAAACACATAAAATTTCTAGTTTACATCCATCTTATATGGTTTTCATTATAAACAATCAAACCATATGATAATTTGGATTATATAAATTCAAAAATAATAGAAAAAATAATAAGATTTAGGTGTTTTTCTATCATTCTAAAATAAAATAATAAAAAAATAAAAAAATACAAAGATTTTAATGATATCGATAGTTCCTATCTTATAAAAGTTTATTCAAGAAGGATAATAATATTTTAAAGCATATAATGATTTAGAAAAGAATAAAAATGAATTGGCTTAAGTAATTTCTGAAGTGAAAATATTATTGAATGAAATCTAATATTTTGAGAGATATGAAGGTTTTTATAACTATGATGAGAAGTAGCTCATACAATAATGTAAAGATAAATTACATTTGAGTGATACGGTATTGAAATAATCCCCTTCCAGAGTTAATATGTAATTTATATGATTCTTATCATTTTATAGAATATTCGACTATTTTTACATCACAGGAAACAATTATAAATAACTTATAGATTGTTAGAATGTGTTAAATGGATATAAAATTTAAATTGATGAATTATTAAGGAAATCATAAGAAATTTTTGTAACAGTAATAAACCCCATTAATCAATAGCCACAGAATTGTATATTATACTCTTTATCATTAGCATATATATATAATTTATAGATTAAATTAAAACTTCAAGCTCCTCGTTCAATTAAATCAATATTTGATTAATGCCCTTATCATTTAAAGAGTGACTATCTATTTTAATTTTCTATGGGAGATTCTTGTTCCTCTAAAGTAGATGTACATGTATTCAAAAGAGATGAATTTACTTAACTATATAAAATTGAAAAACAATTCAAAACTTATACTATGTCAAGACGAAATCATTGCACTTTATAAATGAGAAATTAACTTTAATTTTCACCTTAAAAGAAGGTATGTTCTAATTCTTAGTTGGAAACTCCAACACCTGAAGATTATTCAATTATTATTCCATAAAAGGATTTAAATAGTTTATCTAATAAATTTAAATTATATTTGATAGTAAATGGTTAGAATGGAATGAAAATTATTAGAAACTCAAAAGAAATTCTTCATATTCGTTCTGGATAAGAATGTGAATTGCAAGAAAATGATTAAATAGTATTTTTTTAAGATTGCAATGAAAACCCATAAGTTTCATACATAGTATAATAGATTTTAATTAAATAAGAATAATGATATATCAATTTAATTTTAGAAATTAATGATATTGATTATAAACTAATAAATATATATATATATATCAAAATATACTCTAAAGATCAGTGTATTAGTTATTATTTAATTCTCCAGAATATTATTGTTATTATATTTTATCTGGAATTGGTTCTGATAAATACCCAAGATTATTAGTAATATCATTAAAAATTGGTTATTATTGGAACATGAAAGATTAATTATTTTATTGTGGATTAACATACAATTAAACCATATGACCTTCCCAATCAATATTGATTCTAGTAACTCTTGGGGCTTAAGTGTTTATTTGTCTATATACTCTTTCAATAAGAACTTATGGAGGATCATTCTCAATTAATTCTGGTTCCAAATAAGTGTTATAAACATAATACCCAACCTAATCACAATTTTAGACTAAAATATAATTACTCTAAAGAATTCTTGTTTTCTATACTTAACACTTAGTATAATGGCACTTGCGCCAAATAAATCATCTTTACTAGGAATCAGCTCAAAATTTGGACCAGAACTCATTAGAGTAAATTACATAGTTCCTTATTATAGAGGAGGCATAGAGAACTATTCAAGCACTTGATCATATCTATCACTATTTGGTGATCCAATATAAATAAGTCTAAAATTCAACTATTTTAATACTTCCATTCAATTTCTTCATCTAATTATCTCATCACTTCGAATGTAATTTACATTTGGATTGGACTATTGAATAATGCTGTGTCTTAATCAAAAACTATATTGGTAATGTTAATCAAAGCCATTTACAAATTTAATAATAATAAACTCTCTAAATTTTGTCTCAAATTTTAATCAACATATATTACTTATCCATTTCTTTCATAAATATAAAACTATGAATATGAATAAAAAAGAAATAATATAATTTATGAATAACTTCAATATTTTCTCCTTTTATTATAGCTAAACCATAAAGAATCATTAAATTGCAAATATTAAATTCTAGGTTATTGCCTTAATAAAATGATCAAGATCAATCCCATAATTAATTTAAATATGTTTAAAATATAATTAGTATTTAATTAAGTCATGAATATGACAATGATGATAAAATACAGACCTGTTCTGAAACAAGTATGCTGCTAAAATTTTCATGCTAATTCTGATATATATTTTTAGTTGGTATTTATTGAATCATATTAATTGAGTAAGTATGTGTTTGGGACAGTGAACAAGAGAATTATTAATAGATGTTTAAAGTGTTAAATAATAAAAAATCATATAGAAAATATACAACATTGAAAAATAATGATAATTTGATAAAAAAAGAGGAAGAGAGATAAAGGAAACAAGCAAATTGTCACTCCAACATCAATATTTTTGTTAATATAGACTATGAAATCGAAATTCTTCTATTTCATCATATTGATATATTGGAGAAGGAGAGGTTGAGATAATCCTTGATAATGTAATTTGATCATAAAAATGTTATTAAGATTAAGTTTAAATTAGACTTTATTAGAGCATCAATTATGTGATGAGAAATGAGGAAAGAGGAAGTCATTGTAATAAAATTTGGTCATTTACGAAACATTCTTATTAAAACAAGTTATTATGAAGAAATCCTTTAATTGGTGGTTGAAAATTTGATTAGGAAATATATTTTAAGGTTTTTGTGAGAATTGATGAGGGATTTAATTCTATAGAAGAGAAAGCATTCAATTGAGTTTAGAATCTATAGCAATATTTAATTGAAAAATGAATATAATGAGATATAAATAAATTGAAGTACTGATGTTGTTGAGGATGGTTTTTTATTTTAATTTAAAATTACTCATGGATTGACATTAAATTAAATATTTAATTTATGAGCACATTTTATTTATTTGAGGCAGCAGCTGGTTTAGCCTTGTTCTAATGTGATAGTGTAGATGAAACAAATGTCAAATCGAAATAGATTCAAAAGCAATTCTCTGACTTTGCTTAATTCGCAGAAATATGTCACTTGAAAGTAATCATCATTCTTTATTCAGGCTTTTTAACCTTTTATTTCTGCTGAAATTGCTTTGAACAATGCTTTAGCAATTCATACAGGTTCTGTAACTTAAGAGTTAGTCGATTTCTTATCAACCAATCTCCCTCCTGTTGGAAAGAAGAGCAAGTAATTTATATGATTTATTGTAGTTTCTAAATTGCTATCAGTGATAAAAGTTTGGCTGCAGGACTTCAATAATATTTGAATTTGAAGAGCAAAATGAATGAAGCAACAGCTTAAGTATTCAGAGGAATCAGAACACATTTCGTTGATTTTTTGAGAAATGAAGATTTCAAAGAAAGAGATTATATTTAAGCTTAACTTGGTTTGGCACATCAAGTATCCAGAAACAAGGTGAAATTAGATATCAATAGAGAAGACAAACATGTAACTTAAGCTATAAGCATCATTGAATAAATGGATAAAGATTTAAATACATTAAGTATGAGAATCAAAGAATGGTATTCATGGCATTTCCCAGAATTGGCCAAGATTGTTACAGATAATCGTTTATTTACTAGAATTGTTGATACCTATGGAGATAAAAAGAATATCAATGATGAATAATTGGAAGCAATTGAAGAACTTACAACTGATGCTGAATTGGCTAAACAAATTGTTGAAGCAGCCAAGATATCTATGGGTTAAGACATATCAGAACTTGATTTATCTACATTAAAAGATCTATGTATTAGAGTTCTCAATCAATTTGAATTCAGAGACAATATTTAAGAATATTTGAAAAATAAAATGACAACTATTGCACCAAATCTTACAGCTTTGATAGGTGAAAATGTAGCTGCCAAATTGATAGCTCATTCTGGATCATTAATTAATCTAGCTAAATATCCTGCTTCTACCATCTAAATCTTGGGAGCTGAAAAAGCATTGTTCAGAGCATTGAAAACTAGAGGTAATACACCTAAATATGGTTTATTATATCACAGTACTTATATTGGAAGAGCTAATGGAACTGATAAAGGAAAAATCTCTAGGTAATCTATTATCATTTAATTATACTAGAAATCTAGCCAATAAGTGTGCTATTGCTTCTAGATTGGATCATTTCTTGATCTAACCAACTGAAAAGTTTGGTATCAAATTAAAAGATCAAATGGAATAAAGATTAAAGTTCTTAACTGCTGGAGGAGAATTGAATAAAAATACAGATATTATGGATGAAGTATTGACAGAATTAAAAGGAGAAGGACTCTATTTTGATAGTGAAAAATAATTAACCAAAAAAGACAAAAAGTCAAAGAAAGCCAAATCAAAAAAAGTTGTTGAAGAAGTCCAAGAAGAACCCATAGAATAACCATAAGAAGCTCCTAAAAAGAAGAGAAAGTCATCAAAATAATAATGATATATAAATAGTATATTAAATAAAAATGTTACACCCAGTTCATTTTATGTTTACATGAACCTTCATTTATTTAAGAATTAATTTCAGAATAGATTTCTTAGTTACTATAATTAATTTATATTTAAAGACTATGGTATTTTAATCAAAGTTTAAATTTAGAATTGTAATTATGATTACTTTAGAGTTAAAAATAAGATAAAATTTGAATGACTTTAAATTTATAATGATTTTCTAATTTTATGGAGTATTAAGGATGCTATACTTTACTAACATTTTAATTACTTCCAAACTTTTTAGATTAAGCAATAATATCTTCTCTTTGTAAAAATAAAATCTTAATTAATATTATATATGAAGTGAAAATTTAATTACTAAATATGTATTTATCTAAAGAACCATCAAGAATAACCTCGATATTTAATACAAACATTAACATTATTTTGATTGGATATCTTTAAAAACTTTCTTTAATTATTTTATCAATTAAAGACACATTATCAGCTATTTTGATTGTTTTCTTTATATCTTTAAATTGAATATTCTTTTCATTAGATCATGAAATAATATTTCTTTATGTATAAGTTAAAAATATTTGTTATAAGTTAAGCTATTATATATTTATAAATTTAATGAAACTTCTCTTATATATAAGGAATTTCTTCTTAGAATTTCATAATAAAAATAATAAAGATCAGAATTCAGTGTCATTATCATTATCAATCTACCATCCATTTAAACGATTGAAGGTTTCTCTAAATATAGTTTCATGTCTAATTTATTTGATTTATTTTCGATCAACATGAACTTTTCCAGGTCTTATCAACCAATCACACTTCTCTCTATTTACAATAAAATTCTACCTATTGTTCTTTTTTAATTTTGATTTGAATCAGAAATTGTTATATTTACACTCTTTTTACGTGAAATTATTTATTCAAGACTCTTATCTGGTTATTGTTATATTGAAGTAATACGATTTCTTTTTATAACCTATCGATTGTTAATAAAAATCTAATTCAATTATTTGGATGATTTGCTTTAAGGTTTGATTGGTAATTAATTGAGTTCACGTTTTTGTTATCTTTCTTTGATATATGCATCAAATAAATTCTAGGCTGATGCCATTGGTTAAGGAATATGAGTAGAATGTGATTTATTAAATTTTGTCTATTGAATTTCTACTTGTAGTATTGTCTAATGTGTTTTTCGACGCATTTGATGTAAGTAATTCTATTAGAAAAAATAGATTAGATCTTCAGGTGATTTATTTATATGATCTGCCATTAATATTTATAATTAAAAATAATACATGTAAAAGATCTTTCCATAACCATCTGATTATTTGGCTCCAATGACCGAGAAGGAAAAAGTGTAAGAGTGAGTTTATAGTTAAAAGTCTATTGGAAAAATGGAAGAGTAATGAATTGGGGAATGAAAAGAAGAATGCAATAAAGATTAGATTATTTTTGTATTTAGGATTAAGTACAACAGTATATGGATTATTGGGAATTTATTTAGTAAATTCAATTGTCAAAGATATGGAGAAATCTGGATTTTAAAAAATGGAAAAGGAAGCATCAAATATTATAGATAATATTAAGAGAGCAGATTTCAAATATGCCAGAAGTACTGAAATTAGTAATTAAATGTTGAAGATACTTAAATATAAGTAAGTAGTATAAGGATTTTGTTGTATAATGGGATTGTCTTATGGATTAGCTTAGATGAGAATGTATATTAAAGAGTATGCAGAGAATTATTAAAATTGAGTTATATAATTATTTAACGAATGCAATATAGAGTTTAATTGTAGTAGATTAATTAGAATACAAATGTTATTCCAATCTCGATTATGCAATCCCTTAAAGGTTTAAGTAAGTATTTCAAAAAGGAAAAATGTACTTAAATTTAGAGATCTTGTACATCATTATCTCCAAAACAGAATATTACTCGAAAGAATTCAAATTAAGTTGAGAATCAGCTCTTAAATTTTGTAAATAGTAATGAGAATAGATCAGTTCCAAATTTGTTTGAAAATGTACAAAAAAAGAATGTAAATGCACCTATTAATCAAAAAGTATCAAAAGGTAGAAGTTCATCAATAATTATGAATAATTTGAATTAGGAAGATTGGAAATTGAAATATATGTAATTGAAGGAAACATTAAATCAGAGAATAGTATCACTCGAATAAGAATTATATAGGATTTATCATATTGAAAATAATGCTACTAATATTATTGATTAATTAAATGATTAAATAAATCAATAGAATTTATAATTAGAAGCTTATAGAAATAGAGTAAGAGAAATAGAAATAGATTTAGAAAATAAGAATCAATAAATAAAAAAATTAATAATTGATAACAATTAATTCTAGATAATAATCAATGAGAAAAATAATTAAATAGATTTATGGAGATAAGATTTAAGAACTCCAAAACAACCTTTTCTAACTACTGCAATGAAATAAATTTAATAAATCTTTGAATAATTGGAAGTATTATATTTTTTATAAGTATTTAGAATTCGTAAACAAATTATAAAATTCATTCACCATTAAGTTAAAATTTATCAATATCTTCCTCGTCTATGGTTGAAATGATAAATGAAATGAAAGAGTCCTCCTGATATATAAAATATATTGATTAATTTATAATGACTCAAAACATTCTATTGTTTAATTCTCTTTTAAGATTGTGAGGAAAACACGAAATGCTTGGAGTAGGTCTCACCATTTCCATTAAATGATTTGGTCTAATTTAATTATTATAATATACTTGAATGGATCTTTTCCTTTGACAAAATCTTTTCTTTAGGTAGGTTTAAGAGGATCACCCTTATATTCTGGATATTTGCTTAAACATCCAGTTTCACCACTTTTGGTTGGATTTGAAGGTTTAAAAGGAGCTTCATGTTTCATAATATTTGGTTTAAATTCTTTGACTTATGTTGGCTAAATTAGTATATAAATTTACTTTAGGTAAGTTGGTCTCTCCAAAGACTAGTTTATCAGTGCTGAAATTATCAGTTGTGTAAATTGTGCTTTTAAATGGTTATTTATCTTTAAGCATCTTTTATTCATTAAAGATTCTCTCTCTTTCAAATTATCTATAACGATTGTATTCATCCTTTTCATGTTTTGGGAAATGACCCAAATTTTTAGAAGCAGGATTTGTGGTAATATTTTTGGGTCCAATTTTAACCCTCCCATCATTATCTTTATGATTATTGGGACCTTTTGGTATTTCATAATCAGGTTCATGAGGATAAACTCCTCCAACCAGTTCTTTGTAACCAGAGGGAGGAACAAAATTCTTTTTATCATCAGATGCATATTTTTTATTATCCTCTAATTCTTGAATTCTGATTTTTCTTTCAGGATCGATATATTTGTCACCTATAGTTGTAAAACCTAGTTGACTAAAGTAGGATGACTTAATTTTGCCTGATTGAGGAGCTGTTACTTTCATATTTGAAGGAGATGTGATTGGTTTTCCTTATTCATTACGAGCAGCTAAGCATTAACACAAATAGTAAAACGTCTTGGTTTATTATCATAACTATTATCACCCAAACCTAGGGGAACAGGTGATGAAAATAGTCCGAATCTTTATACAGTGGCTAATTTCTCAGTATCTGCAATAGCCTTTTTACTTATTTCCTTTAATGTTGCTTCCTTATCAGACATAATTTATATAATAATTAATTAATCAGTTAAATGGACAGCAAAGAAAACTATTTTAACATCAAATAAATGACTGAATCTTTTAAGAATGTCAAGAAATATTCATAACATTCGAATATTATTGTAGATATGTTTATAGAAATTACTTAGAAATTAGACAAATCTTCTAAAGATTATTTATCAAAAGTCATTCCTATTGATGATGATAAATAAACACTTAACTAAATTGATACTAAAATCATTATGAATTACTTCAAATAAATAGTCATCTATCTAATTAAAACTAAGATAGAATTAGAAGAAAAAACATAATAAATAGAATCTTAAACTCAATATGAAACATTGATTTAGAAATTAGAAGCTGATGTTCGTTAACATATTCGAATAGAATAATAATTAAGAATCTATACTGAAACATTATAATAAAAGATAGATGATTTTGTATTAGAAAGAGAATAATAAACTTAATAGATAAAAGAATATGAATAATAGATCAAATAAAAGAATAAAGATATAGTAATCTATTAAAGTGAACTTCGTAAAGCAGTCAATTAAAACTAGTAAAGAAATGCTAAATTAATAACTGAACCTATCCATGAAGAATATGATACAAAATATCATCTTAATAAATTAAATTAAACTTAATATACTCATCATCGTAAAACCAGCCAAATTAATGATGAAAAATCTGCAGCAAATAGTAAGAATCATTTATATAAGAATCTCAAATCAACAGTTATAAAAATTCACCAGAAAGAATCCCAATTCGCAAGATATCAGTGACTAATTATGCTGAGACCAAAACCATCAAATAGCCAGTCTTCATTCGATAGCCATGGTAATTATCAAGTAGTATTATCCATTAGTCCAATGTCTTATTCACATTTAAAAACTGAAGTATAACTCAGTTATAGAAGTAACAGTTAAGATAGTAAGTAAGCATCTAAAAATATAATAAAATGATTTCATACTTTAATACTTATCTATTATTATTATTAATTGAATTTCAATTTTTTTATAAACTCAATATAAACTTCATTATGAGTTCACATATTAATGATGTTCTAAGAAATGAAACAATATACTATCGTAAATCTCATCTTCTTAAAAATATTAATAATTAATAGAACAAGTTATTTAAAAGAGAGTTGATTTAAGATAGTTTTAAATGAACCAACCTATCCAATCAATTGTTTAATAAAAAGAAGAATGTCTTAATTCCTTATACACATGAAAGAAACAGTTTAGGTCTATTAATTAAAAAGTCTGATTTATCATCTAATAGAGAAATCACTAATAAATAATTTGTAAAATTACCAAGTAATCAAAAGCTTTATACTTTCATAAAGAGTGAACCTCATAATTCCAAGCAATCCTATGAACAAAAGAATAAAACTTAATCAACTGCAGATTTATTTTATTCTTTCTTTACATTTAACAAGTATAATCCAAATATCTTACTTAAGTCCAAAAACAGCAAACCATTTAGTTTTAGAAAATCATTTTATAAAAAATAACTTTGATTTATATAAATATTATCATCCATAATTAGCTGATGACATAATAGCTTATTTCACACTTTTAGTTGTCATTATTTTCTAAGTCTAATAACTAATTAAATATATAATTATTAATTTACTTTTTATCAGGACTTTAATAATTTTATATTTAAGATTATGGACTTAAAATTCTTTGGGATACTTAAGATTACTTAACTTCATTTTAAGATTAAAATCTTTCAACATATTAATTGTAAGATGTAGGTATTTAAGATACTTAATTTATTCCAGATTATCTTGTTACTATTTAGACATTGGTCTTCTTAATACCTGAACTCTATTGTCCTATTAATTAATTCACAATCAATTAATCATTTTGTTTATCAGTGAAAATCTATTTTTTTACTTTAGTCTCTAATCTTGCATTTTCTTATTCTAAAATATGTAAACGTGATTCATAATCAGTTATATTTGTAATTAGAATTTGAATTTTATTCTCTTATTCTTATCTTATATTTTTCTATCTTTCAATTTCAATATTTAATGTTTATATTTCATGTTCTAGTTCTGTAATTGTTAATTATAATCTCTTAACTTATTCATTATTAATATTTGATGATTAAGATCTAATCTAAGTTATTTCTATCTTTGTTGAATTATATTATTATTCTAATTACTAATACTTAGATCTATATTGATTTAATTCCATTTATGTTTATTATAATTGATAAGATAATTATTATATCTCTTGAATACTTTATTATTACAATCTATCCTCTAATTTCTATCTTTCAATTGTCAATCTTGAAATGAACTATTATTCTAATTCATCTCTAATTTACATATCTAAATTTCTCAATTCCAATTATAATTTGTTGATTTATTAATTTTTTGCTTGTAATTCATAATCTAATTCTCTTAATCTACTATTTAATCTATCTATTTCTAAAGAGCTACTTTTTTAAGTTTCACTTTCTCTTTAAATAATAATAAATCTTTAATTGATTAATTCATAGTCATTTTTATATTTTAGATTAAGCTCCTTCAAATTTGAAATTTCTTAATTTAATTATAAATTAATTTATCTTAATTACTACATTTGATCTCTTTAAGTTTAACTTTCAAATTGACTTTATCTAGTAATTTATTCCTTAACTAATCTTAATTCACTATTAGATTCTTAATATTTGATCTATAACTGATCATGCTAATTTTGCAATTATTTATACTATAATTATAATTATTATAATTCGAATAGTCCTTACTAAGTAACCTTTTATTCAGTAAGTTACATTTCTATTCTAAGTTTCTCTTTGAAGGATTATTCAAATTGTTATTCTTGGTTTTGAATTTATATTCTCAATTATGATATTTATGTTTCATATTAGAAAACACGTTATTCATATTGACTAATCTTTTATTTTAATATCTCAAGTTCTTTATTATTTTATTATGAATATTTTATTTCACTTTCTCTCTCTAATAATAAGAAATTTTAGTTTAAAGATTCATAATCATTTCTATATTTTCTAATTTATTCATTTAATGATTAAATTTCATTCTATTACCAACTGCATCGTTCTTAAAGAGTTTAATATTCATTCTATATACTTGTGAATTAATAAGAATTTTTTTCAATTTACAATTTTTAAGTTTTTAATTATTAATTTTCTAATTATAATTCTTCTTAATCATTTTGATATCTCTTTATTAGATCCTTATAAGTTTAGATCTCATTTTATATCATTTTATATTAATTTTACAAAGTCGAATATTCTTCTTTTATACTCAATAATTAATATTAATTTTATTATGATGATTATTGATTTTAAAATTATACTTATAATTGAGAATACTAATTTTAAAGTGCTTAATATTAATAATTTGAATTTCTTAATTCTTATTCCAATTCTATAATTCTTTTCCTTAAAGAATCAAGTTCTATAGAATTGTTTTTATATTAATCACTTTATCTTTAAAATATTAAATATTCATTAGATAATCTTTCATAATCTTATTGATATTTTTCTTTTTCTTCTCTCAATTGAATTAATTCTTATTAATATTAAGATTGATGTTAATTTCTCAATATTCTAATTTCTTCTTAATATTAATTTTATGTAGTACTAATTCTTTAATCTCTTTCATTTAAATCTTATATTAAAATTTAAATATCTTATTCCATTTCTGCAATTTTTCTTTTTAATGTATTTACTTCTTATGTATCTGATTTTCTGCTTTCAAAACTAATTCTATATCCATTTATTTCCTATTTAGATTTATCTACCTCTAATTTTAATTAATCTATTTGTAATTCATATTATCTAATTCTTTCTTATAAAAATGAAATTTAATTATCTTTTTAAACAACCTTTTATTCAATAGCATATGTCTATTCTTAAGTTTATGTTGCTTTGTAACGATCTTGCCATACTAAAACTTCATGTTATAATGCAGATATTCTTTTTAAATATCCTTCAATTTCTGCATTTTAATTTTTATTTGTAGATCTCAATGAAGATTGTTAAATTTCTTAAATATATGAATCACAATTAAAATTTAATCTTTTTATTTCTTATTATTGATCTTATATCTTATCTTCTAATAATTTGATAGTTCTTTTATAATCATCTCTTTCATTTCTAAATTAATCTAAATCTTAACCATATGATAATTTTGAATTGCTTGATTAGATTTATATTTATGATTATTAGAATTATTAATTTATTAAATTTTTGGCTTTAATTAGATCTTCTTTTTCTAATGTTAATTATTTAATTTGATCTTTCAATTCATTTATTTCTTAATTTGGTATATAAGATACATATGAAGATTTCTTTTATTATTCTTCTAATTACTTAATTTACATCTTCAATTAGTTGACTTCATAATCATTTGAAATAACACTTGTATTTCTTTCCAATCTATACTTATATTCATTGTTTTCTTATCTAAGTTTATTTATCTCCTCTTTATATTAATTAATTTCATAATCATTGACTTAACTAACTGTAGTAATATGACTAATTCCTTTTTCAGCTTGTAATTATTTATACTTATATTTCCATTAATCTAATTCTTTCAAATAATCAGATATTTAATTATTCAAAGAATTCACACTCTCTCTTAAATTTGTAATTTCTAATAATAACGATTTTGTTACCTCTATTTTTTGCTTCAATAATCTTCTAAATAGATGATTAATCAGTTATAGTTATTTATTCTTAAATAATTGGAATACTTTATACTTTATAATCATCAGACCTATATAAATCAATCTAAAATTATTATACCTTAATTGTGTATTTGTGTATGATTAATATTGATAATTTCTCTAAGGTTGATAAGCATCTATTCTTGAATCTGTAGTTTCTATTTAATAATGTGTAAAACCACTCATCTTGTAGATTAATAAATTATATTAATAAATGATAATCAAATTCATTCTATTTTTGATATCTTGCTAATATTTATTTCTGATTTTAACAAGTCATTCATCTTACTATTTTGCATTATTGAATCAGATTGTTATTGTTTATTAAGCAATTAAGTAGTGCTTTTGCTTTTTACAGATGGAAATTGTGTTTTTAACATAGGAGAACTTTAACATTTAGGTTTAATCTGATTAATTAATTTATACTTACTCTTGTCATATGATCACGTAATTTTTCATATCTATGTATTTACTCTTATTATTTTTCTATAAGGATTTGTTTTGTTAGTTCTAATCTCTTTTATAGTTCATTATTTTCTTCATCTATTTTTTATTATTATTTTCTTCTCAAAGGGGAATGCAACCTCTTTCCCAAAGCATTCTCACTCCATAAAGAAGTATCTGCCTTAAAGCTAAGCAATTCAACTTACATAGGCTTTCTCTCTTAAATTTTGAACAGTCCATATAGATCTAAATTGTGAGTTTTTGCCTTCTTGAATTTCTATTATATGTGAAGTTAAATATTAGTTTTATTCATCAATTCTCTTTCTTTATTCAGATTTCTGAAATCTAGATGATTGTGTTTTTAATTGTTATGTTTTATTAAGTACTGGCAAATCTTTGAAAGCATATCTTGGCTTTTTGCTAAATCTTTAAGAATGAACTTATTACTCAGATTAAATTTGGTCCAATTTCTTTTTATGAAATTCATAATTTTGATTACGGAGCATCTTCTAAACCAAATTGGTTTCTACAAACCTAGCACCTTACATAAGTTATATATTATTTAATTATTTATTTTATAATTCATTCTTATTTTTTACGACCCACTAAAAATTCTTTATGATTATCCATTTCCTCATAATCTTAATATGTATATTAATTTTAAGTAATCTTTTGAAATTAGAAAAAACAAGTTGTATTTTTACATAATAAAATATTAGCTTTTCTATTATAATATTTTGTGGCAGCATCGGAACAAATTGCACAAAGCATATTTCAAATTATTTAATTATTTATTTATTATATATAAATTAATAATATTTTTAATCAAATTACTTTACTTCTACTAATCTCCCCTCAATTCACTAATTAAAAATACTTTCATTCTTATCATTATATATCCAATCAAACAAACAAATTCTAAATTCATCATGAAAAACATCTTCCCATTATCAATTTCATATTTCATAATGCAAATATATTCTATTTAATTAAGATTATTATTTAATCTTATTAGGTTTAAGTTCAATTTTAATAGTAAAAATAAATTATAATTGATTATCCTAATATACATTAATAAATTATTAGCCTATCTAAAATCCTTTAGGTATTTCTAATATTAACATTTGAATATCAGATAGTTTATTGATTTTTTTATATACTAATGATATTTAATTCGAAAATCTGGATCTGTTTCTAAGTTTTAATACATAAGCATCATATAATTTTATTGGAATCCCATACAAATTAGTAATAAATAGTTTTATTGAAATTGAACCAGATTAATAACATAGCTGATCAGATGATCAATATATAAATTATAATGGGTAATAGCGTTTTGATAACTTGATAAAAAAGTTTAAAAAGCGAAAAATGAAATTTTGATTCATTTTTTTTAATAAATAATATTGTGAAACATAAATACTCATTATTTTTATTTTTTGACTTCATTCTTGCAAGCAGATATTAAGACTTCTTCTTGTAATTCTTCTTATGGAATATGTACATATTTAACAGTTGATCCTCTAATGAAACTATTTCTTAAAGTTATTAATTATGGTTATTTGAGAGGATCAGATACTTCAGGATCAACTAAGTTAAAATTTAAGTTGTCATCAACATAAGTAATTTATCCTTGTATTTATAATCCATTTTTTAATTCAATAGTTACACTAACGCAGCGTTCAATTAATCCTCTAAAATATGTTTGAAAGAATTAACTCTACATTAATTATATTAATTAAAAATTCTATAGAAAGTTTTAACTTATTTTTCTCAGTAATATAAACAATAAATGTATTTATATTTGTATACTATTATCATACATATAATCATAATCATTAACAAATAGAGCAAATTCTAATTGGTGATTGAGAGCATTTTAGGATTGAGGTTGATCTTATTTTTTCATCTTTAAAAATTGGATTAACCCACCCAATATTTGGTTACCCTTTTAATTTTAGAATTGTTTTTTAGATATTAGTAACATTTTGATTAGGTTTGTACATACAAACTATCAAATTTTCATTAAATGATATTTTTTAGTATTCCTAATCTAATTCCAAGTCATCAGGTTCATCTTCAATTAAAGCCAACTTATGATGAACACTTAATGGAGTCATAGGGTTCAATTTGAAATTAGGGGATTAAGTAATCATAATTAATAACTTGTAATTTATAGATTTGAAATATAAAACCATAAAAATTGAAATCTATATTAATGCGTAGCACATGACAGCAAATAATAAATCTTTATTTTATTATTCATTATTATCAGTGATAATGTTTTATCGATAAATAATTATATTTATTATTCTAGAAATCAATAAATATATGCATCATCTTAAAATGAATTACTTCTCCATACTTATACTTTTAATACACTTTTTTTTTTCTACATTTAAAAAAAACTAAAACTGTTAGTATAAATTTTTTATTTTTTTTTTAATATATTTAAAACAAGTATTATTTAAATTGAACTTTAGAGAGATATTTAAGCAATAGGATATAAATCAAAATAAAAAAAAAATTAGTTTAATTATTTGTTTCACACAACCTCAAATACTTATTTTTATTTACAATAAAAAATTTATTCCAATTATATTAGTAATTGATATCGTTTAAAAATTATATTAGTTTAGAATTATTATACATCTGTTTTCTTAGTTTAGATTATATAGAATATTATGGAATATTATTTTTAATTTTTATAATATTAGATTAATGATGTATAATTATTAATATTATAGAGATGTTTATTGATGATCAAAATAAAGAATTATTGGAATTACAACAACGAAGAAGAGAATTAGAATACGAAAACTAAAAACTTAGAGCAGAGTTATACCAATTAAGACGAAATCTAGTATTTAATTGTATTGTTTAATTCTATCAAAAAGTTCATCAAGAAGAAGTGAAAGAATCAGAATAAGAGGATGAGTGTGAGAAAGAATAAATTAAATATATATTGACCCATTCCTCAGATCATATTCAGAAAAGAGAAGCAGAAATAACATTTTTAGACAACCCTAAAAGATTAATTCTTAAAGGATAAAGTGATTGTGCAGATAAAGATAACACCAAAGAATTTTACGCTTTTTCATATTCTATATTACTTAATGAAGAATTAGAAGAAAACCCAAAAATTATTGCTACAGATTCAAAAATCGAAATTATTTTTGACAAGAACCAGAAAAATAAAAAATAATTGATTTAATAAAACTAATGATCTTAATTACAATTTTTTATTTTAAATAAAAGAAACAAATTTACCAAAGACATATTTGGAAATATAAGGAAATTATATATATTTATTAATAAATTTATAACGGAATGATTTCTCCAAGAATTTAAAGTTCTAGTTTCAACCCAATAAACACATCAAATGTCTTTACTTCAACTATTAATGATGATGCTTAGAATACTAGTTTCTCATCTTATCATGTAACTCCCAGATAAGGAGCTACTCCTAGATAATTGTCTAGAATTTAAGAAAACAATGAATGTGAAGATTCTAAAATAACAGATACTGATCCTGAAACATATAGAGAAGTAATTAAAGAGTTATCAACCTAACTTTAAATGGCTATATTAGAAAATAGATAATTGAAAGATAAAATTAATGTATTAGAAGAAGAACACCATGAAAGTTTTTAAATAGTCAATACATAAAATCAAATGCTTTAAGATAGTAATTTTACATTATAGGAAAAAATTAATAATTTATTTTCAGAAATTTAACAAATGCAACTCCAATTAGAATAGAAAGATTAAAAATTGAAAGAGGTTAGAGAAAATAACTTAATTTAAAATTAATCATCTGATAAAATGACTCATTTGATAGATGAAAATTAAAAATTAATTAAAATTATCTAAACATAATAATAAGAAATTAATGATTAAAAAGATGTTATTAAATAATTCGAAAAAGCTTTATAAGATGCAAAAAGTAAATGTGAATAAGATGTTAATGACAAATTAAATAATAAAGTTAAGGAAATAGATTAATTTAAAAATGAAATTGAAGTATTGCATTAATAATTACAATAATACAAAGAATAGATTATGCTTTGGAGCTAAAGATATTAATCTTTAGATCAAAATTATTAAATCTAATACTAAGATTTATTTTAAAAGTTTAACATTAGTTAAAATTAACTAACTGAATTATAAAATATTTATTAAACGTTATAAGATAATAGCTAAAGAAAAATCTAATAATTGGTTTAAGAATTAGATAATGCCAAAGTAGGAACTTTAAAAAAATAATAAACAATTAAAGTTCAAGCTTTAGAAGAGAGAATTGATGAATTAGAAGAACAATTATAAATTAAAAAGAATTAAATTTTTAAGTTAAAAGAAGAATTAATTGAATATTAAAACATTTCAAAATTGGCTAAATAAAGGGAGACAGATAATATAACAGATAAGAGAAGTATTTAAATTTATAATATTATTAGTTGTTGAAGATTAAAAATTAGAGAATTATGAATAAAGAATACGTTAATTAGAAGATAAACTTGTTTAATAGGAATAATAAATTATTGTTACTTAATAAAATTAATAATAATCATATTCAAGTTTACCATAATAATAATAATATTAAAGTTAACCATAATAATAATAAATGGTTTTAGTTTAATAGTAATAATAATAATAATAATAATAATAATAATAATAATAATAATAATAATAATAATAATAATAATAATAGTTATATGAACATAGTTATTATGCAAGAACCAATGAAAATAAAAAGTTATAGTTGTTTTCTGAAAGAAAGGATAATGTAAGAATGTATTATAGTTTTGCAAAAGAGAATTAATAGATTGAAAATAAATATCCTAGAACTGCTTTAAATTATGGAAATAATTATTGATTTACTATAAAAAAATAAAAATATTATTAACTACTTATTATATCAGTTTGATTTTGATTTCTTTATTAAATTTTGTTATGATTATGTTTTACTAGTAATTAAAAGCCCTTTTTGTTTTTAGAAACTTAAAGGTTTATTTGATTTCAATTATTTTGAGTTTTATTGTGATTAATTTTCTTTATTTGATTTACTCATTTTATTGATTTTTTTTGGTACTTCAACTTAATTTAATCTTTAAAGTAGATTTGTTGTATCTAAAGTTGATTTACATCTTGAAAAAGATTCTTTAGAATTTGAAGTTTGAATTAATCTTTTTCCATTTGGTGATTATGAATTATCTCTTATATTTGGCTCAACTGATTAATTCCTAATTTTTTATTAGTTTTCACTTTCTAATGGATTATCTAATTATTCTGTTCTTGTAGTTTATAATGAATCTATTTTTTAAAATGTTTATTGGAATTATTGAAGAATATTAGTAGTTTATTGTTATTAATGATTATCAACTTAAATATCAACATTATTTTATTCTAAATAATTTTAATAGATAAGCTTATTTATAATGTCATCTTAAAAAAATTAAGTTGATTATTAATTTTATTCTTAGAATCCAAACATAGGACTTAATAAATCTGTTTTATTTTCTGATTTTTCTTTATCAAATGAATTTAATGTTTTATTCTATACTACAGAATAACTATCAGTTGAAGAATATTATTAATGAGAATGTTCAAATTATCTTGGTTGTTATTATCTATTTTCTGGTGTTATGAAAACACCTTTTCCTCTCATTTCAGCTTCATCACTTAAATTTGGAGTTAAATTATTTTTGGATGATGTTTGAATAAAACCTTTCTTAGGGTGTGGAGTAATAAAATATTATTAAGAAGGAGATAATATTTATTTTTATTCAAGTAAGGTTGATTCAATTTTCATTAAAGAATCTTTTAATGATTTGATTTAGTTAGATACCTTAAATAGCAATTTAGATAAAATACTTCTAATTTTTAATTATTATCTACACAAAATGTTTCAAGGAGTGCCTTTAATTTAAGATTTAAAATATTCTTCATTTGTATAAATATTTATTATTATTTATATTTGGTAAGATGAATTTCTATTTATTAAGTAGCTTTAATTATATCCAAATCATTATTGAACTATCCAAAGAATTATAATAAATTGTGTAATGATTCATAAAATTTGGCTTTAAAATCAGCAATTGATTATGTTAAATCCTAATTGCAATTTATGAAAATGATATACATCAAGCAAACGTTAAGGTTGAGAAATATATTTTATAGCACTTTCAATTATATTTGATTCAAGTTCAGTAAGAGGAGCATTAAAAATATCACTTAATTTTTCTGCGGCATTATTCATATGTCGTTAAATTTTTATTTTAATTGAATATTATTTAATAATTAATTTTATCATACATAGAATTTACATCATACTATATTAAAATAATAAACAACATATATCACAATTGATTAACATAATTTTTTGTATTATATTATTAAGAATATCAATATATTAATTGTAATTAATTTTTATTATTAGAATGTAAGACTTAATTTAAAATAATCTAAGACAAGATGTTTAATCGATAGATAATTCAAATATGAGTAATTTTACAATCACTAAATTAATATAGGTGATTAATTTGCAAAAAAAATGTAAGCCTTATTAGAATATGGATTATATGATTAAGCATTTGAAAGAGTGATGAAAAATAAATAATAAATTTAAGAAAGCTTTTAATTACTTATAGAACTGTAATTTCATTTAAATATAGTTAAGAGCAAGATTATTTAATACATTTAAATAACATAAATTAGCTTTAGAAA